AGATCCGTCAATTTGCTCAAAGGTAACCTTCGCTACCTTTTTTTTCTTGACTTTGATTATATACATATCAGTAGTTAACCGATGTTCTATTACCGTTTGGCGATTCAATATTTTTGGTTGTTGAATTTTATGGGTTTGATGTACTTGATACTATTGTTATGAAATATAGTGATTTGATTTATTTGTCAGTGTAGTGATGGCGCATGATGAATTTTGTGGGTTTGATGTCATTAATACTGTTATTATGAAATACAGTTATTTTGATCATCTTTGTCAACGTCGGGATAATTGGGAAAAAACTATATACCATACGAAGCTTGATACAGTGCATGAGGATTCCGGTTACGGTGGTCCCTACAATGAATACGAAAAACTGCCCTGTAGTTTTGTAAGTTAAATAAATAAGAAACAAATAGAATGTTATCAGGTAGATCGATTAATTTAACGAGGCTGGGCAGAAATGAAGTGTGTATTGTAGAAAAAGGTTAAAGCTTAAGCAAATCGAGATTTGATGGGAGAAACTGGTGAGGTATTAAAGGAAATATCTGGTTACGAGAAAAGATTAAAGATTAGTAATTTTGAATTCTGATGAGGAAATTAATATCCAATAGCCTATTTGGAAGATGGCAAGTGGGGAGGGAAAGCAAAATGATCCCATACAATATATGCTCGGGAGAAATTGGAATGTTAAAGGGATAAAAATGGAGTATTTTTCCTTAGTCATTTCTTTGTTTTCAGTTTAGGTATCATATTCTGTATTTTCCCTCTGCTGAAGGGTTTGGGACCTCAATGGAATATTCCCGCGAAACTAAATGAAATACCTTTTCTTTCTTTTCTTTTCCTTTTCAATGACTTTATAGGAGCTTCATCACTTGCCCTTTTGTTAACTTAGTGCTTGTTTGGTAGTGTTTTTAAGTGCTTATAAGTTGTGAGTCCCACAGAATATGTGGATAATAAGTAGGTAGTAAGTTATGGTCTTGTGAAATATGTTAAAAAAAAAAAAGGATAAAATTATATTTGGCCAGCTTAAATATAATTTGAGCTTTGCCAAATATGATGTTAGTTTTTACTCCACACTGTCCAGCTTTTATCAACCAGAAAGCTTCTTGTTATGCTTTTTTGATGCACAAGGACATAATTGAAATTTGGAGGGCACGTGATCATACAGCACTGCTTAGAGAAACACTGTAGTAATCTTTGTTGCAAACTATATGATTTTAGTTTCCTAAGATTCACTGGAAACTTTTGTATTCCTCTAGTACACTGTTGTCCACATTATCAGTATATGTTTCATTTTTTTTTTTACTGCAGAGTAATTTAGGGCTCAAAATTTCTGGAGTTCAGGGAAAATGACGGATCTTTAGTAACGGTCTGACGGATAATTTCATTATTCATCACTTGCTTATGTTTCTTCAATCTTCTTGTTTATTGTAGTCCTCTGGAATTATATAAGATGTTCCAATAATTGTCCTTTTCAAGAGATCTATTTTAGACTTTTGAATGTACTCTGCATGAGTTAAAACTCTCTTAGTCTCTTTTCTAATTGCTTGGTATCAAATCTTCTAATTAAAGCCTGTGATGTCTTTCTTCTTCTTCTTTTTTTTTTTCCATTTTATTTACCGACATGCTAGCACTCTTCAACTGTTTTGATGGTCTATTTTAATGTTTTAGTTTTTCAAGTATATATAACTCGTGAGGCCATTTCATATGTATTGGTAGTAAGAATCAAGAATATTTTTTTACTTTCCAAGCTTTAGTGGTTAGAGAGGAGGAATGTGAGAGCATCCCATAACGGTGTGGGAAACTCAAAATGATATCAACATATATGCGATGCAGAAATAGGCCCAGATACCCATTTGGTTTTTCGTAAGTCTTTCATGTTCAATGGGCCAGTTGGGCTATGATGTAATGAATGTGTTGCCTGAACGATGATGGAACTTACTAGAATTCTGGAGAAACCTTTGGGAATCCTAGGGAAGTGTTCAGAAAGTATTTTTGTTATCAGTTTCTGCAATCAAAATAGACTGACGTAAAGTTTACTTTCTCTAATACTTTTCAAGTATTTATCACTTTAGTTTATGAAGTGGATATTTCAATGGTCAAGAGGTTTCAAAACTTGCATGAGTTCATTTGAAGTTACTTTAAAAATTTTGAATTTGATTCTCCATGTAATCCAGTGTTCCATTCCTTATTATATTTCTCAAGTATGCTGTCCTCTTCTATTTTGTTTTTTTCGCTTCCACTCTATTCATTGGTTTCTATATCTTTGCCATTATTCAAATAGACAATATGTTTCTTCATTTAAAGTCCTTGCCACAGTGCAACAGTAATACTTCTATTTTGAGCTTTGTTACATCCATTTACACATTAATTTGCTAGAGTTGTTTGAGTCAATGCCACTTCAATTTCATTATTGTGGTTCAACTTTATTGGTTTTTGCTTTACCAACTTGAGATTAGCTTAACTTGACTAGATTTAGTGAATTGATCACTCATGGCAGTAAATATTTGCAACCAACTGATTCTTGCAAAGGGGGAGAAAAGATTCCTAAAGCAATAATAAAGTTGACAAACTATTGATTTGGTCATATGAATTTCACTCCTAAAAAAAATCATATGAATTACTTTCTTATGAGGAAGTTAATTATATGTAGTAAACTGATATTACAGTAAGTGTTGTACTTGAAAACACTAAATGTTGGAAGGTTGAGTTATAGGGACCATAAGCAGGATTCTATTGACTGCAAAAATATTATTGAGGAACAGATACTCCTGGCTTCATTGACAGTACAGGGGCTGATCTACAGCTGTCCATCTCCATCTTTCATGAATCTTCTTCAAATTTGTGAATTTATTGGGTTAAAAATGTGAAGCACTAAACTTTGGCATATCAATCTGAAAGATGTTGGCTGATAGGAAATAAGCACTTAACTTTTAATCTGCCTGCTGCCTGCCTTGTCTGTGTCTGCTGTATCAATTGATTTAAGTGTGAGTGCCACCTGTCACAAGGCTAGATCTGTTATTTGTCTTATTTCTATTAGAACTGAATTAATTTGTAGGCCTAGCAACTCATTTTGTAGAAGAATTCCTCTTGAAGGGTCACTTTGCAGTTGATCTTTCCGGTTATTGACAGATTGCATATTTGCTCAAGACCTTTTATCCAGTCGTTGCATTAGTAATCATTCTTCCATTTGATTCATCGTTTATTTGTTACTTCTGTGATGTTGTATCTGTTGTTTATTCAGCCATTTGACATTAGGGGACCATGTATACCTTTCAGGTTGGTTCCATCAATAGATTAAATGAATTGAAACTCTGCTTAAGAGGATTAGATTTGGTCAGTATGGTGTAGGGGGTGCAAGACACTAGTCATCCTTAACTTTGTTAACGATTTCATTTCAGCATCTTAGGGCATGTTTGGTACAAATTTTCATTTTCTACAGTAAATCAATTCTCATTTTAAACCACACATTCTTCAATAAAATAATATTTTCCATCACATCAATAATTTTTTCTTCTTTTTCAACCACACATTTCCCATCATATCACTATTCAAAATCAATTCTTTCCCTAAAAATCTTTCCCAAACNACAGTAAATCAATTCTCATTTTCAACCACACATTCTTCAATAAAATAATATTTTTCATCACATCAATACTTTTTTCTTCTTTTTCAACCACACATTTCCCATCATATCACTATTCAAAAATCAATTTTTCCCCTAAAAATCCCTACCAAACACACTCTTAACTTTGTCTCTCCGTCTCTGTGGTGTGAGTGAATTTGTCCGTTTAACTTACAACATGTTTCATTTTTCTGACTTTATCTTTTAGTCGAGTGTCTGATAGGAACCAACTCAGATTATGAAGCAAAAGAGCAGAAAGTAAATTTATAGTTGTATTACAAGAGCCTGTTTGGTAGGGATTTTTGGGAGAAGAATTGATTTTGAATAGTGATATGATGGGAAATGTGTGGTTGAAAAAGAAGAAAAAATGATTGATGTGATGGAAAATATTATTTTATTGAAGAATATGTGGTTNAGAAGAAAAAAGTATTGGTGTGATGGAAAATATTATTTTATTGAAGAATGTGTGGTTGAAAATGAAAATTGAGTGGAGAATTGATTTGAAAATCAGAAACAAACAGGGCCTAAATAAACTGGAAAGGAATTACCAGGTTGATGAGCATTCGAGAGGATCATCTCTCCCTCAATTTGACACCATAATTCCAGCATAAAATGAAATGAACACCCCACCCCCAATTTATAGTTAGACTCCTATACACTTTTATTCTACAAAATCCAATAATACCACCCTCCTATACTTTGACTAACTAAATGGAAAAATTCACGTGCCTTTGGGGCCCATCGATCTTCAGCGTGTAAACTTATTAATGGGTGTCAATTGAGGCCATGTTTCACCTTTCCCCTTCATCTTTTAAAGGACATTTTAGGCCAGCAACACATGAATGATTGCCTCAGGATCACTTCAATTTCCCTTAAAATTAGCACTTTTAAGGTTCAATTGATATAAGAAAAGCTAGGGAGCTACTATAAAACTTTGGGTGAAGTATAAAGGCTGCAAGTTTGTTTTACTGTTATTTGCTGCCATTCACGAGAAGTTATTACAATTTATTTTCTTGAGTAAGGACTGTAGTTTACTGCTGTGTTTCGAGTGGAAGTTGTTGACAGAACACAATCCCATCGGGAAAGCACAATTCAAGAATTTAATATTCTCAATCAATGCTGTAATGTTGATTAGAAGAGAGTTGACAGTGGCTGATAGGTAGAATTTTTGGCTAATGTTTTTCTTTGATAAGAAATTACTACTGTTGTTGCTTTTGTAACTTGTAGCCATCGGTCAGTTGGGGTCTTCATTTAAGTACTTTCTGCCTTGATTTTCCAGTCTCAGCTTCTTCGGGTTTGTTGAATTTATCAAATCAATTGGTTTTGAGTTATGATAGTGCCATAAAGTTTTATTTGGACTATGATATTGAATACTGGACCTTCAAATTTTTAGCAGACGTGCTATTTAATTTACATTCTGTGAATACTTCATTTCTTTGATACAAACAAAAGCATGATCCAAAATGTTATAGCTGAATGGAATTTCAAAGTTTGTTAACTTATTTTGCTTCTCATATTTCGAAAACGTCTGAAATTCACCACGCAACTAGTTGATCCTTAATTTTTTCTTTTATTTACTCTTTTGCAGTTCGAACTCTTAGTACTTGATTTTACAGTTTACCAGAAGCTTATACCTCATCTTATGCTCTTAGTCGTCAACTCAGTTACATGCTCTTATATTGCATAGAAGACTAAAATAAGTGCTCTCTATATGTTGTTATGTTCCTTTGGATTTCAGACGAACTCGTGCTGCATTTGATGTTGCACTCACAGTTCATCGCAATATACAAGAAAGGGATATTGAAGTTGGGCGAAATCTTGGCAATTGGATCCTTCGTTGGCTTGATAAAATGAAACCATCAGCTCAAATCCGAGTAAAGCACCCCTCAGACAGGACTGCCAACAAAAACATAAAAAAGCCGTTGAATAACTCGTCACACCTGAACAATCAAGGAGGGTTTCCCAAATCCAGTTCAAGAAGTCAGTATAAGGAATCCGCTAGGCATCTTTTTACAGCGGCAAGGAACGTGTGGCCAAAACCCTTTCCTACAGTTGCAATGATGATGCGACCAATGAGGCCAGCTGGAAGTAACATTCAGTACAGGCAATTCAGCACTGGAGCCTCTGAGGCTTTCACCGTGGATTTTGGAAAATTTGGTTTTGGAGTAATTAGGAATGATATAAGGCAATGGATTCTGCAGAGCTAATTGCATGGACTACTCTATTATTATTTTTTGTCTTGAGCATCAAACACTACAATTCAGTTTAAGTTTAGGTGCATTGCCCGGTTAAACGAGGCTTTTAACTGTCTTCTTTCTGGTTTTATTTACCCGTGCAGGGAGTTTTCATTGAATTTCTTTTATGGATTTATGTAAATTCCTTTGAGACTTCATTTTTCTTTTCTTATATACATATATGTGTGTGTGAGAGAGAACATAACAAAAGAATAATTCCTTTTCACAATAAATTTAAGGTTGGTTATTTGTATTTTTTTTTTGGTTACATTCAATTTATTTCTAGATCTACTTGGTATGATTTCGGGATCAATAGGGGACACGTAATGAAAAAGCTGTGAGCCTTTGCTCCACCTGTGCATCAATGAACTACCGGATCCAAGATGAGGCGGACGCGGGCAGTGAGAGATGAGCATGAGCAGCAAGGGGGAAAAAAAAATTCCAACGGATCCAATACGAGCGGTCATGGGTGCATCAATGTCTAAAGCTCAAATTTTTAGCATTATGTTTGGTGTGTCTTTGAGCTCGTGTCATTCTTATGAATAAGTGTTTTCTAAGTACACATTGTAAGTAGGTCAATTTAAAATATTCCTGGACCCCATAGTCTATTTTAAAATCCTAAATTGAGAATATAAATATCATTTAGGATAATAGCTCTAGGAGAGTGATATGTGTCGTTCGATTGTAGAACCACTTAAAACTTTTACCAAAATCAAATCTAGTAATAAATTGATAATTTAAAGAAGAAGTTGCAATTTTCTTCATGTGGGTAAAACCTCCTTCCCTATTTTGAATTCATTTTCTTGATCCCCAGGTTTTCAGGTTATTAGCTAGATGTTGGAGTGCAGGCCTAATACAATTTCTTTTTCTGAGTTACAAATCCATTTGGAATCGGCCATTGTTCTCATCTGGCTTTGGTGGGCCTTTTGAAAGTAGGCAATAAACCTTTTATATATATATATATATATATTTGCGGCAAAATCAAACATTAATTTAAATCATATTCATAACTCTACGTAACAAATACAATACCGAATGTATATGATATTCTTCGTAATTCGGACACCAATCTATTTATAGATTGTAAAAACATATCTTCCCAAGATTTGCAACTTTTTATTATAGTCAATCAAAACAATATTTTAAAATGTAAGTTACATAACTGAAATTGCGGTGAAAATGGGGAAAAAACGGGATTTAACGCATGTGCTCTGATTTGAAGAGACGACGGCCGCTGCTAGACCAGCAAGATTCGTGGGATTTGCTTTCCGTGGCCTTGGCAAGCCATTTTAGTTCTTCCCATTTGATCCTCGTTCTACTATTGTGATAGAAAACAGAAAAGGATTATAGATTCATATGCTTTAAT